AAACTTGAATTTTTATTGTAATATTTTATCATTTAATAATTGGTAAAACTTTACAATAAGGTCTAATTACTTAATGGCAGTTAATGTATTAACGAACATTAATGAACAATGAGCAATACATTTACAGTAACGTTAGTTAATAAAAATGCAACTACAACTGTTCATTGTCAGTGTTAGTTCAGGTTCATTAACATTAACAGATACTGTTTTTTATTTTAATAATGTATTAGTAAATATTGAAACATTAAGAATAATAAATGTTTTACAAGTGTTTTTCATTGTTAGTTAACTGAAAAAATATTGGTGTAGAAACCATTTTCACTCAGAAAAACCTAGTAAATTTCACAAGTAATTACAAAGAATCTGCAAATAACACATTCAATAAAACATGACATTTTGAAGTAGAAAGACTGAAATATTTTCTTGTAAAATGTACACTTAATCTTTTTTTTCTACAATGTGTTAATGTTAAATATAACCTTATTGCAAAGTTTTACCTATTAAATAGCCATTGAACCTTTCACTGTAGCTTACATTGATGAATGTAATAATTCACAGGCTATAATTGTTAGTAGTATGCAAGAGACATCTGCAGCTGAACAGTTTAGACTGTTTATTTTTAACAAACTAAGTAGGCCTAGCATTTATTGTGGAGAAAGAAGCGCAAAAACTATTAAAAGCATTTCATAAGGATGCTAGTGAGGTTTTTAAATGATAAAACAATAGATATATTAATGGAAATTAGCTACTATAACCTGTATTTACAGAAATAAATGTATGTGAGATTAGAGGTGTTGGCCTCTCGGCCAATCACCGTCCACTGCAGTTGTAAGAAATAAATGATCTACAATCACTGCAAACAGAACATTGCCAAAAAAAAAGCTAATTCAGTACTGAAAGTGAAAGTGATGGGCATCACCAAAACTCCCGTTAGACAGCAGCGTTTCTTCTAACATTCACGATTTTGTTCTAAATTCTGTTTACACAGAGATAACCGAAAAAAATGTAGGCCTAACAAATGTTCTTCTCTTTGTCTAAAATTAGCATAAGTCTACTTGATATTCAAACCCAACATCTGACTGGTTGCACAGATAAACATGAACAAATGTAAAAGCAAACACTTACCTTGTCTTACACTGCAGAGTAAATAGCGGTGGACCGTCCGAATCACTGCACTCTTTCAGAGCATATGTCAGTGACACATTAACC